GCAGATGCAGATTACTGTTGATTGATGCATTCTTCTCTTTGTTCAGTCCAGTCTTGTTTGTCCATGAAGCCAATTCTATGACGTTTTGCAGTTTCGATAGTAAAACATCCTTCTCAATAAAACTCATAGTGGGCTCCACGGTACCAGTTCTGGTAGTGTATCCCTCGAAAGGTCTACAATTCCCTGTGCTGTAGTGAGGACGCCCGTCTTCGGTAATGGTAGTTGTGGACTGGTTACATTTAATTGTAAAATGACTTTTGATATCATGCATACTCAATGATCCTCTTTCAGGTGTTGTCATATATACTTGGTGCTGAAGAGGAGGCATAGTGACTGTCTCAACAGGTTTTCGCCATGACTCTTCCCTAATTAAGTTCGCGGCCTTACCTGGGCACTTGTTACCTAGGATAATATGCATATAATCGTAACCACGAACACGACCTTTTATAACTCTCCAGTTCTGTAAAATGTGTTCCTGTTTAACTAGTCGTCTTAGCATTTTTCTAGCCGCATACTTTCCGCTTCTTAAGATAAGTACTTGTAACACACTTCTTGCTGTTTCAAACTTTGCGAGAAATTCCGACAACATCCCTTTAGGACTTGCTGCATATAGAGCAGCAAATACACGAGCAGGTAATATATTAGATGAATCTAAAGCCTTAATGAACTCCTGAGTGGACACTGATTTAGCAGCCTGAATCAAATTCTTGACGTCTTGATTCTTAGTGATTTTAGGCAATAATGTTTCCATCTTATTTCTCAACACTGTAGACGGTAACGCTGGCATGTTAGTCGTGATAGACCTATATGCCAAGTCTGAGACTCTTGATGGACTTATCGAATATTTGGAAATCAGAGCTGTACCAAAAGAGAAGGAACTCAAAGTAGACCCCAGATTCTTCGGGTATAAGACGTACGAGGAAAGGTTCCGTAGTTTGGCTCAGGAGAAAAATGCAATGAAATTCCTTGAATATTACTGTGATGAGCAAGCCATGACATTGTCCGAACTTGAGTTGGCTAGAAGGATCATTGCATTCAGGAGGCTTCGCCTTGCATATAGAGATCATTATATTCTATACATAGTTGTTGATGCATCCTCTTGGAACAATCATTTCAGATAAGAGACTGTAGACGATACAACATTACTATACATTCCTAACTGGCAGTCTTTTTAATCTATCAGTTTTGTTATAGTTTTAGTCGTCAGTGTGAGTGGAGGGATAATATAAAATGATATTAACCTGACACTGTTATTTGTCGAATCTTAATATGTGTGCGCATTCAAAGCCAATATGTCCCATCTTCGAGAGTCAAAGAACGGTAGCACTAGTCTCTCCAGAATCAATTGTCACCGAACGTAAGTTTGATACAGCAATTAGGCTATCACAAGTTGTCTCCTTTAAGCGGAGGCTAGAAGAAGGCCAATCCACATTGGATGATAAAATCTTGATAGAAACCTTGAGGAGACAGAGTGTCAAGGCACAAGATCTGATAATTGACCATGCTGTGTATTCCAGGCTGTTACAAGAAGTTCTAGCATCTGAAACCCCAGCCAGGAAAATCAACTCTAAAGAGAATGACCAGATCAGTCAAATATGGTCACTAATACAGAGGAATCTTACGCTACAAATAGGTTATATGACTGAACAAAACACACTGCCGGAACATGAAAGTACAAAAGCAGGATTACATGAATTCTTCTCTTCTAAAATGCCTGATAACACGTTGAGAAGACTAGTACTTCTGGCAACAAGATTGGCAGTTATGGTCGAGAAGATGGGATTACTCCAGTCTGTCAGGTCAGCAGGAAAATCCATTGAGACATTTCTAGACGAGGCATATAAATGTAACAGGTGGGATGATCAAGCATTTAATATTAAGACCCTGTGGTCCAATCGGCTATGTGCAATTAATCTAGGATCAGACCAATGGTATATAATGCCCAGACCATATTTACTTATGATGCACAATAAAGTGTCAGATCTTATATCAGTATTGGTATGCAGCAACTCTATGTCAGGAGTGTCAGGCGATAGTAACCTATACAATGCTTGTATTGAACTGGTGAGAGAGATGTGCAAATTATACGTCAGACATCAGAGTAAATTTTATACGGTAATTAAGATGTTAGAGTCTCTAGTAGTAGCTGAAGCCTTAAGATCACGTCGGGGTCACCAGTTTGGTCGTCTTGGGTTGGTATTATAAAGTCTTTGCAAACACAAATGGACACAAAGAAAGTTTTTATTTAAGACGAACACAAATATAAAAGGAGAAAGTAACAAGAAATAGTTCAAGCAGCACAAGCAGGTAAACGAAATAAAAAGCAATAATTAAAAGGCGTAGTACGAAAACAATAACACGGGATGCGCGCTCGCAAGTCAGATTTCGACTGGTGGCGGTGGATCGGTAAAAATGCGACGACCGGTTCGTCTATGCACCGATGTACTCGCGAAATATTATCGCCGCCGCTATACTGCAGTTATCGCCCGACTTTACTTGTGAATTTAATTTTGTTTAGTGTAAATGATGTTTTGTATGATTGTGTGATAAATAAATGTGTTGATATAAAATAAAGTATGTATGTGTTGTTGTGTAGTGTAATTATAATAAAATATTATAAAATAAATAAATACATGTGAGTCACCCACAGGAACTATCATTGGAAGGTCTGGAAGATGATGAGGAGGAAGAAAGCTTAGAAGACAAGGAACTTCCAGAGAATTTAGATTGACTTGCTTAAACTGGTATTTTCCTTTTATTTTGAGACGGAACTTTGTATGTTGGGTCTTGATCACTTAAATCTATTGAAACGAATGAGATGACGGTTGAGAATGAAGTACTTTATTTCTTGGTAATTGACTATGGTACACTACTAGTACATATTGTAACCACTAGATGCCGCTAGTATAAATTAAACTTATTATTTTGATATTAATAAATAAACATATTTTAACAGCACCACTTATCAAAATAATCTAATATCAACTAAAAACAAAATCAAGAACAATAACTTGACCTTGACGTTTTTAAACTTTTTGAACTCCTAATAATTTTACTAAATAGTTATGTTTGACACCACTTAGACTTTTCGTTAATACATCGGCGGGCATCTCAGACGTTGACAGATAAACAATTTTTACAAGCTTATTAGAAACTGCTTCTCGTATAAAATGGTAGCGCACATCTATGTGCTTAGTTCGTTTGTGAAACAAAGGATTTTCCGTCAACTTTTGAGCTCCCTGCTTATCGTTGTAGATTACAACAGTATAATTACAATCAACAATATCTGATAAAATACTTTTTAAATATATTGCTTCTTTACATGCCTCAGCAATGGCCATGTATTGGGCTTCAGTACTTGACAACGCTACTGTTTGTTGCTTCCTGCATTCATAGGATACTACACAGCCTGACAATTTAAAGCAAAAACCTGTGTAGGATTTCCTATCTATACTATTTGAAGCCCAATCAGCATCTACGAAGCCTTCTAAATTACAAGTGTCTTTAGTAAATTTCAAACCGTAAGACTTAGTTTTTTGTAAATATTTTAAAATTCTTTTTGCATGATGCCAATGAACTGAAGTAAAACAATTATTAAATTGGCTAAGATAGCTCACACTGTATGATATATCTGGACGCGTTAATACTGACAAATACATAAGATTTCCTATAAGCTGTTGATAGGGAAACTGTTTGTCAACACATTCTGCCTTATTTAATCTCAAATTACATTCCATTGGAGTATCTTTTGTATTACAATCATTCATATAAAACTTTTTAAGAATTTGTTTTACAAATTGTTCCTGATCAATGGTGATACAATTATTTTCATATTTCACTCGCATGCCTAAACACCTTTTTATTTTACCTAAATCTTTGATTTTAAATTTTGACATTAGCTTTTTCTTGAAATCATTAGTCATAGTCTTACTATTAGAAAAAATGAAAAAATCATCAACAAATATTGCAATGATAATCTGCTCATTTTTACATTTTTTACTATACAAACATGGTTCTGAAACTGACTTTACATAATCCATGTCTATTAAATAATCATTTATTCTGGTATTCCATGCCCTAGCAGACTGCTTCAAACCATAAACTGCTTTTTTAAGTTTAAGAACACAATTACTTGGACAATTTAAGCTAGGAGGTGCGTACATGTACACATTTTCTGTTAAAAAACCATTTAAAAATGCTGTAACTACATCAAGATGAAAGATTTCAAAATGAAATTTTACACTTAATGCAAACAGAAGTCTAAGTGTAGAGTATCTAAGCACTGGTGAGTAAGTTTCGTTAAAATCTACTCCATGCTGCTGAGTGTAACCTTTCGCTACAAGTCTAGCTCTATACCTAACACTGTTATTGCTTTCTAGCTTTTTCTTGAACACCCATTTGCACTGTACTACTCTATCTGCCTCCTCTTGTTTAACAATCTCCCANTCCAGAGGGAGTATTATAAGATCGGCTTTTATTTCTAGGCATTTCAGTTAAAAATTCTCATATGGGTATCATCAACCTACAGCAGTCCACTGCTGAACATAGGCCTCTCCAATTGCTCGCCACTGAGCACAATCCTCGGCTTCCCTCATCCAGCTCTTGCCAGCCACCCTGCACAGATCATCACTCCACCACTTCACAGTTTCGACTCAAGAACATGTTTACCCTAACAGTTATCAGTTGTCCGGCTAATATGGGTATATAAGTTGGAACCGAGCAGCGAGCACCGTTATTGTAATGCAGATAGTATTATTTATTTTGAAGATGAATGATTAAATTTGATTTTGTTAATTTTGATAATTTTTTTACTAAAAAAGTAAATAGTACGAGGTTAGACTTTTGAAACTCCTTATTTTATTTATCTACATAAGAGTCATATTTTGCTTACTATCTAATAAATAAAGTCAATGTGATTATGAGTTATTTATTTAAATTATTTTTCACTACACTCTCTTTTAGCCTGATTATATTTTTTAATATCCTCTGCAGCTTCCCTCTCAGCCTTCGCTTTTAGATATACTTCTTCTGCTGCCTTCATCATCCACTCTCTTTCCTTTTTTTGGAATTGAAAGAGTTCGTCTTCTCTTCTCTCTTTCTTTTCTAAAATTAAATTCCTCCTGAATTACCCTGGTGCGCACATTCCCTCCTGTAATTAAATAAAATGCTTTAAAATGCTATTAAATAAATTGTTATACATATTTGTAACATTTTAGTAATCTACATAATGTATATTTATGATTTTGAAGTGATGATAGCTTTAGTGGTAATTAAGGTATTAATGGGTGGTTTCAAATCCCACAATTGGATTGAGCTACTATAGTCGAATTATTAATTAGACTGAGCAAAATGTGATAGTCAATTCATCTGATTCAATACAATTAAAGTGAAGTTATAAAAAGATATTGATATATTTAGATTAGATTTACAAATTGCATTATTTGTGACACAACTTTTATGTATTTTTTTTTATGTTTGTTCACTGATATCTTCTTTTTTCTTCCTACCTATGTTGATAGCCTTGAGAGGCTTCTCCTTGAAGTGTAGGTGAGCTCATGGTGCTCAAGCCAGGTGTGTTGCTAACACCGGCCCTAGCAAGATCTTCGCAGAATCTACAACCGGATCGGAAACGCGACTCACTGAGAAGATCCAGCGAGAAACTCAGTGGGCTGTCTATGGGTTAATTCGATAGTCGAGCCCTTCGTCGCAAGCGACGGGTTCAGCAAGGACAATGACCGGTGCTTGTGGTGCCTAAAAGAACCGTTAATGGGTCGGGAGGATTCGTAATGACGTGCTTAAGGCAACGCCGAGTGTTTACCATTCAGTCCACAGGATCGGGTATGTGATATCTGCATCAAATGTAGGCCAACAACAAAATTTGTATTTTTGTTTTTATACACTCTCAAGGTTGTTCTGACATTTTCGAATTGAATTTTTTTTTACATTTTTAACTTACCTCCTAAGGAGGCTGCACCACAGTCAGTCTGCCGGGACCCAGAACGACGCGGTGGAGTGTCACGACGTGGTGGAGTGTCACGACTTGGTGGAGTGTCACGACTTGGTGGAGTGTCACGACTTGGTGGAGTGTCACGACTTGGTGGAGTGTCACGACTTGGTGGAGTGTCACGACTTGGTGGAGTGTCACGACTTGGTGGAGTGTCACGACTTGGTGGAGTGTCACGACTTGGTGGAGTGTCACGACTTGGTGGAGTGTCACGACTTGGTGGAGTGTCACGACTGGGTGGAGTGTCACGACGTGGTTGAGTGTCACGACTTGGTGGAGTGTCACGACGTGGTGGAGTGTCACGACGTGGTGGAGTGTCACGACGTGGTGGAGTGTCACGACGTGGTGGAGTGTCACGACTGGGTGGAGTGTCACGACGTGGTGGAGTGTCGCGACTTGTTGGAGCGTCACGACGTGCTGGGGTGTCGCAACATGGTGGAGTGTCATGACGTTGTGGGGTGTCACGACATGATAGAGTGTAATGCATAGGCGTGGTGCCTGCAACATTTCCTGAAAAAATACAAGATCAATAGTTCTACACATTACTTGCGTTTATTATTAAGTAATGAACTTGTGCTCTAGCCCAATCTATGATTTGTAAGGTATGCATACAACAAAGATCGGTAGGCAGCGGCTTGGCTTTGCCCCTGGCATTGCTGAAGTCCATGGGCGACGGTAACCACTCACCATCAGGTGGGCCGTATGCTCGTCTGCCTATAAGGGCAATAAAAAAAAAAAAAAGAAAAAAAAAAGATCAATCAGAATTGTTTGGAAAACCTCACTGCATTCAAACATATGAAAGCAATTATATATCCACCATGTGCATGGATGTACTTTGTGCATTTCTTTTTTTATCTACCCAGAGAAGCAAAAAAAAAAAGATTACCATTATGTAACAAAGAAGGCGTTTTATGTTTCTAAGTATGCATAAAGAAACCCTAATTACTTTACCTACTTTTTGTTAAAAATTTGAATAGCTGTCAATTATAAAAAATTGTATCAAGGTTTTTTTATTAGCTCTTGCACATGTTGGGTTCATAAAGTATTTTGTCATCACATGGTTACTGTTTCATTATAATCAATAGAAATATTTATTTGTANCAAGGTTTTTTTATTAGCTCTTGCACATGTTGGGTTCATAAAGTATTTTGTCATCACATGGTTACTGTTTCATTATAATCAATAGAAATATTTATTTGTACAAATTTGTTTTAAGAAACCTGCACTCATTTAGATAATTTATATTATAAACTTTATTTAAAGAATATTTACCTTGTGATGAAGCTCCACCACAAACTGTTAGATGGGACCCCATAAGATGCATATGAGTGTTCACCAATATTTTGATTTTCATCAAACTGCTTTACCCTAACTAATTAATATAGATAATTACTAAAAATATACATACATTCTTCAGCTGATGATCTTGCACAGCTTACACTCAGAACTTCATCATTCTGTTGTGGTTGCGCTGCTGCTGGAACTGATGATTCAAGCTCCATTGCAATATCTAGAAATAAAACAATAAAATCTTTAATTATGTATGGTAGAATAAAAGTGATAGTTGGAGTAGAGGAAAGAAAGAATTTTAAAGTAATATTGTTCTTAATCAGAATGTGGTATATCCATTATGATTATTAAAATGGTTTCTTGAGTGAAAATCTTTATCAGGTATTGTCACGCATGTTATTTATCTAGTTTTTAGCACAGTAATACATGTAGTTCAACTCATATAGATATATAACAATAATCAAAAGACCCTCCATGCCACCACGTTCTTACTGTTTTTTGTGAGAGAGCATGTGAGATTGAAGCGCTTATCTCAAATTTTTTAGATTCACTTACCTTCAGAACTGTAAATGGTATCACTGTCAATGACACCCCTGAGTTCCACATCAGTCTGATCCAGTAGAACCTCAGCAAAAATAAGGGTCTCATTGCTGCTACCAGGCTGTGGCTCATTTGGAATACACTGTCCGCCACCAGTCTTCATTCTCTGACGCTTTTCATTAGCTAAAAAGTGCTTCCTCCGTGTTTTTAAATTATCCCAGCACTTCTTGAGCTGGGCCTCACTTCGCTAAAACAAATGATAAATAAGAATAGCATGGTATATATAGACAAGTAAAAATCAGATACAAGTAATATAAATAAATATCTACCTTTGCATTTGATTCAATTGAATTGAATTCTTCTGTTAAATGTACCCACAAAAGTTTTTTTGTGTTTTGACTAGCTGTCATGGTAGCAGTTTTGTGCAGATTATATTTTAAAATTAATTCTTGTAGGCAAGTCTTCTCGCTTTCGCTAAATACTTGCCTGGACGTCATTATAGAAAAACTGAAACGACAAATAATTTACTGCATCGTAATTTCACGTAAAATCTATAAAAAACTTTGCTTAGGCAGTGAGTAATAAAGGACAAAAATATTTAAACATTTGAGTTAACTTAAAGTTAACTATTTGATAAATAAAACACCA